AAATTAGGTGCCTCGGCTTATATTCGGGTCGGCCTATACTCGAGTATATACGGTACCCAGAAACAGTGCATGATATTATAGTAAAATTGCAATTCTAGGAGAAGAGACGGATACCCTTAAACCTGTAAAAATGTGATGCATCACGGGGATACGGGGTTTGCAGAAAACACTATACTATACCCAGACTCACTCTTTAGAAGAATCATTTTAAAATATTTTCCCCGTCTATTAATTGCTGTGCTTTTTCCAATAATGACATCCCACTTTTCATTTTGAATTTCTTCATGTGTGGTTTTACAGTTCAGATTTGTAATGTCATTTACATGTGCAGATCATACCTGAACCGGGGCCTCCTGGTGTGCCAGGTCTACCGGGTCTGCCAGGTCCTATGGTAAGTGTTACCAGAATCCTTTTCATGCAGAAGTAGCTTGGCTGGGCTATTGCAACTCTACAGTTTATGTGACACACACACACACACCAACCCCAATCATGCAGATCTCCTTGAATTTTTTTGGAAAAAAATCTTTGATGAGCATTGCAAACATTTACAGATAGTACTCGAGTTACGTCCATTCATTCAGCAACCCTTCAAAGTTATGACATTGCTGGATGAATGATAGTTACAACTGGCCCTCAAATCCTGGCCAGTGCAATGCGGTCATGTGATCAATTTTGGAGCACTTAGCAACCAGCCCACATTTACAGCAGGTTGCAGGATCCCATGGTCACTTTCTCCTGCTCTGTGTGAACTGCTTCTACTTCAAGTCCCCCCACCTGCCTATCTCTCGCCATATCTGACTTTTGGGCCACCCTGCTTGGCTTGGCTACCCTTGCCACCCTCCTCCTCTGTCGCTGCCTCCTGCTGACCTTCGTCATCTTCTTCCCCCACTGCTGATCTAAGTTCCAGGGGCTGGACAAGGATGCATCCTCAGGATACATACAGTGAGTGCCACAGTGGTGCTTCATCTGTCAAAGAGAGCTCACCAGGTCCAGCCAGGGAGGATGCAGCAAGACATAACTGGCAGAGCATGACAGCGGGCAGAGCTGCCCCGTCTTCTGCTTCAAGGAGCAATTACCCATAGACCATGAAGAGGACAGTGCAATGGACCAAAGAGGCAGCAGCAGTTCCCTGGGCAAAGATGGCAGTTGTTCAGGAGGTGCTTTTTGTGTGATGATGGAACTGAAAGAAGTAGTGGGATGAGGGCTTCACAGAGGCACAGCACGCACTCCTCAGATCCTTCTTAGGGAACTGGCCTGTAGACTTCAGGAAGGGGTGATGGCAATCTCAGTGCCAACAGAGCATACACACAGACCCTCTGTTCGCTCAGCCCAACCTTCTTCCTGCAAGGCCTTGCAACTTCTGACATGAGCTTAACTACTGCTTCACTTACTAATGGAAATTCTAGTCCCAATTCAAGTCATAACCCAAGGATTACTTATGTAGTGTTTAAGAGACTTTCCTGAATTAAATGCCTATTTATTATCTTGACTATTGGGCAAATGTAGAATGATACCTTCAACATTTGGGAGCCAAACCCACCTTTAACATGTGCTTGTTTGTTTGTTTGTGTGATTATGAAGCTAAACCATAGACTCATGCCTTGGCTTAGAAATATAACTAAATATTTATTAGCAGTTTTCCATGTATCTGAGAGATAAAATTAAGAGAGAGATTAAATCCGGACCATACTCACTCTGATGGCCTTCAGGAAAGCTGTAAAAACTTGGCTGTTCCGGCAGGCCTGGGGCTGTTGACCTCATTATTGAAGTCCGGCCCTGACTAGAATGAATTTGATGGATGATTGTTGTTTTAAATTGTATTGTTTTTATGGGTTTTTTTATATTTTGTTTGTAAGCCGCCCGGAGTCCTTTGGATTGGGCGGCATACAAAAGTTATAAATAAATAAATAAATAAATAAATAAATAAATAAATAAATAAATAAATAAATAAATAAATAANCAGCTTGTGATCAATTGCCTGTTTCCAGGGGGATGGGAAAGGTCATGGAATTGCAATCTGAAGAAACTCGGTGCTTTAACTATAATATCCAGCTTTATTGACAGCTCTTCAGACTTTAAGAATCGCTATTATACTTAGTCCAAGAAAATAAAAGTTATTTTGTAGAACTTAATTTGAACATATTTTATTTAGAATATCCCCTTTGTCCTAATTTATTCCTTTTCTTTAATACTTTAGGGGGAGCTTGGCTTGCCTGGTCCACCTGGAATTGATGGAGAGAGGGTATGTTTCAGGATTAATACGTTCACTATGAAAGTGTTTGGCTGAATTTATTTTGAAATAGAAAATTATTATTATGGCTACAGTTCTAGTATAGTTGGTTAGCTGTAAGTGCAGTGAATTAAGTAGTTAGCTAAGAGATTGCACTGTAATTGTCAAAGCTATTAAAACAGTCAGAATCTTCAAGGGTTTATTAGAAAATAAACGTTATTAATATAGGCCTGTTTATTGCTATTTTGAACAAACACTACTGACAGAAATAAACAAAAGGAGCAACATTTTTACTTGTCAAACTTCTCTCTCATTTTGTGAGGCCCAGCAATCAGATGTAATTTACATTTTTTTTAAAAGAAAATAAAACAAAGGAAGAAACACTGGAAGTTAAAGGTAGAAATCAAAAGACAAGCCTTCTTAAATAGAAGGTGTCATTATTATCCCTACACATATTTGGGGCTGACTGAATCAGGCAAGCTTTATCTATATACACATTTATCCTATTAGAATCAGATATTCAAAATCATTTTAATAGAGTTGTGCAAAGTCTTCAAAAGAAGGCTTTTTGGAGACAGCTTGGTGCTCTTTACAAAGCAGCAAGCTGTGAAAAACAGATGTGGTTGTTTTGGTAATTTGAAGAGAGACACTTTATATTGTCTATAAAGGATTTGCATAGCACTTCAGAATGCAGAGCCCTTAAATTTCCTGAGCTATTTAGAGATTTGATATATACGGTAAGCTACCATAGAGTTAAACCATTGCAGAATTGAATGTATCACCATGCCATTAAGATGTCTTTGAAGACATCTTGCAGAAGTAAATAATGGGAGTTTCACTAACTGGCTATATCATCCAAGAAGTAAATACTGAAAGTTCTACCAACAGGTTATATCATTCATTGGTCTCATGGGAAAAAGAGGCTTATATGCTGTAGGCTTGTAGTAGAGAAACAAGAACCCTACAGAGCAAAGAACAAATAGCAAAGCAAATATTTCTCTGCAACCTTGCTGAGAAGTGTAGTTCATTTCTCCCAGAGTAAGTAATCCACTGAAAATTAATATCCTCTCCCCAACCATTATTGCCCAGCACAACAATGTAGTAACAACATCTGGTTTAGCTGCCTATCTGGCTCTTTATTAAGCCATTCCACAGTTATGGTCTCAGATTACAAATTTGATGATTAATTTTGTGCAGGAAAGTGTGTGATAACAGAATCTTGAGGAAATATTTTCCACTCTGAGAAATTTTGTTCTACTCTTTATCATTAGCATTTGATCGTAAACAGGGCTTTCTTCTGTAAGCAGGATTTAATGTATCTCTGAGAAGGTCTGAAAACAAATCCTTTGAACTAAACCCTGTCTACTTTTGCTTTTTATTACAGGGATTGAAAGGGTCAAAAGGAGATCAAGGAAGCGCTGGACTAGAAGGCCCGAAGGGAGAGATTGGCGAAGTGGGCATGATTGGTTTACCTGTACGTCTGTATCTAATTTTTTTCATTCAACTTAGTTGACAACCTCTAACACAGCATTTTTCAACTTTGACAACTTTAAGATGCCTGGACTTCAACTTCCGAAATCCGGAAGTTGAAGTCCAGCATCTCAAAGTTGCTAAGATTGAGAAACACTTCTCTAATCACTCCATACCATTGAGGGACATCCCTAGAGAGGGATGGGACAAATAGTTTCTATCTCTGTCGGATTTGGGATTTTAGGGAGGGAAATATCCATGGAAGCAAAGTGATCTGATTCTCATCATTAAAACAATCCTAAAATCCAATGCTATCCCACAATTGTGCCACTAAAGTATAGATATTCCTCACTCACTGATCATTCCTTCAGTGACTGTATGAAGTTACAACAGCACTGAAAAAAGAAATTCACAACTGTTCCTCAAAGTTGCAGTTGACCTAGCACTCCCCAGAGTCATGTTTATGATTTCGATGTTGGCAACTGGACCACATTTTCGATGTCACAATATTCTGTGTACATGAGATTGCCATTTGCAAACTTCATAGTCCAACAAGCAAAGTCAGAGGGGAAGCCAACAGGAAGTGGCAAGTCACAGTCATCTGATGTTGCGTTTAATCACCCACGATGATTTATTTAACAACTGTAGCTGGTACTGGCAGAACTGAGGTTGTAAAGTCACTGCAGAGACATGACATCATGCTGAACAATCATGCTGCTTAACAATGCCAGGCCTTATTGTGGTCAGTAACTGAGAATTACCTATGCTGTGATTTTGATAAAAAATTGCAATAGCAGATTTTTGCCTCTCTTTTTTTGAGGGGGGGGGGCTTTTTGTTTAGCACCAAGCGGTAGAATCTCCTCATTGAAGTTTTTAGACAACAGTGGCAGGGATTTTGAGTGACCACAGCTCCTTCAGTTTTCAGTATTTTTCTCTTATAGAGAGACAGCAGCTGCTGCTATTCTCAGTTTAAGAGCAGGAATTTTTGCATTTCATGTATTTTATTCTTAAGGCTCTGTTTTGATACTCAGGTTTTTTTTTAATTCCACTCCTAATAAAGTCAATACCATCTGGAGGACTTCCAAAAATTATTTTGTAAGAAGCATACATTACAGTCTCATTTACCCCTCTCATTTTCCCCTTTCTCAATCCAAATTCCTGAGATTGATTGATTGATTGATTTGATATAAAAACTTTTCTTTTTGCAAATCTGCAATATAATTTGAGCACACTATTGTATTCCTGTGGCCCATCAAATATATGTATATATATAATGGGATTCTGGGGAAAAAATGGCAGTGGTAGATACAGGTTCTTTTTTGAATAGCTGGAGAATACTTTGTATTAGGCTGCATTGGTAATTTATTCCAGTTTAAAGGAACTTTTTAAAGGTTATCTTCCAGATATATGTATGTAATATATTGCTTGATATTTCCTCTTCAAAATCTCTCCAGCTAATCCCCCCAGTCTTTTTCAGGGAGGGACTTAGAACATCTCAGAGGGAAATGAATGGTGGTGAGATAAACTGTTTGGTCAATTAATAGTGTGTCATACTTTTGTTTCATAACTTACAGGGCCCCAAAGGATTGAAAGGAGAGCAAGGAAACCCTGGAGTAATGGGACAGAAAGGAGAGAGAGGAGAAATGGGCTTATCTGGTCCATCGGTATGGTCTGCCTTCAATAACAACTTGGGTTTTTTGTCAAAGAGTAGCTAATATATGGCTGCTTATTATAGTAATCTGTAGTAGAACAAGCCTTTTTTTACTGATGAATTCTATAGATCAGGAGCTTTTGAACTTTTGCTAAGGAAACCACCCTGAGAAACTATTGCCATAGTTATACAGATTGCTAGGACAGCCATCTTTTCAAGATGTTCCTCTTAATTATATTACACCTCTCTCTGTTTCTTTTTCTGACTCACATGCAGGAACTCAGCATATTTAGACACTATCCAATCAGCCCCCCCCCCCCCTTTGCCAGCCATTTTAAGAAGGGTTGTAGAAGAAGGGAAAATATGTGAGACTCCCCCTGAACAATTTTTGCTTTTTGGACTAAGGGAAGCTTACCATATTTCCTTTTCCTCCTAGTTATATGACAAGTGCCTGGGAAGTCAGAAGATCCAGGCATTTCAATGGGTACAAATATTTATTGCAAACTTTAGCTCTCTAGAAGAATCTGAACTACTAATGGACCAAGCAATTTGGCAGTAGATAAGAGTCAATGGAATTCAAAGTGGGCTGGATTTAGATCTCTTGTGGGCACAAGGGAGTACCAGTGGTGGGTTCCAGATCCTGTTCCAACCAGTACGGTTGGAACGGGCCCAGCGGCATCTACATGGATGCACACAGCGCATGCACATACATGCACAGTGTGTGCGCATATTAGCACCTCCGCAAGCTTCCATGACACTCCAGCTGCTCTTCAGAGCGCCGCACAGGCGCTGTACACACCATATGCGTGCGCGGAGTGCGGAAGCCTTAAAAGATAGGTAAGGAGCTCAGGCGGGCAGGTGGAACAGTATCCAGTCCTCCAGGCAGGCGCCACTACGCCTGTACCAGGGCGTACCACCCACAACCCACCATTGGACTAAACTGATGATGTGTTTGACCCCTCCTCAAGCTCAGTCTGGTCATTGGCTACACTATACTTCTCAAAGCTTGATTGGAGGAAGGATGAGGCCATAAATACTGTATGGTGTATTTCTCACTGTCATTAGTGGCACAAAAACATAAATATAATTTTGGATTAGGTAAAAAGCATGGGTAATAATCCTAAGGCTAAATATCATCTGAAACACATAGGTTGTCCATTTATAACTGAGGCTTTAGTTTGAAGCTTTTCAAACTAATTAATACACAACAATAATTATGTTCTACTATTATAATGAAACTTACGGAATTTATACAATCCTGCCTTTTATGCCATTCTTTTTTTGTTTTAAGTCATCTATATTTCTTATAAATTGATCTTGGCACACAATTGAATTAAAATCCACGTTTTCTTTCTCTTTTCTGTTCCAATTATAAAATAAGGCCAGATTTGGTAGTAGAAAGTGATCAATGTAAAATTTGGAATCAAGCCACAACCATAAAAGGAACATTCCTCAATACAGGAGATGTTTTGAAATTTTTGTGGCTTAAAAACGTATAAATGTCAGACATATATTTGTTACTTCATTTATTTGTTTAATGTACTGTATGTGGCTGCCCATCACGAGTACATGAACCAAGGCAGCTAACCATTAAAAAGACAATTAAAACAATAAATAAAATTATAAATAACATATATAGCAGTCAAGCAAGTAACCTACATATTACATGAACACTAACAATCCTCCCAGTTTGCATAAACAAGAAATGGATTCACTCACATCCATTTATATTTATATTTTATATTTTTTTTACTTGAAAACGTTATGGAAATACGCATGCATATTGCATTTGGATGTACCAGAGGTGGTATTCAGCAGGTTCTGACCAGTTCTGGAGAACCGGTAGCGGGAATTTTGAATAGTTCGGAGAACTGGTAAATACCATCTCTGACTGGCCCCACCCCCATCTATTCTCTGCCTCCCGAGTCTCAGCTGAACTGGTAAATACCACCTCTGACTGGCCCCACCCCCATCTATTCGCTGCCTCACGAGTCTCAGCTGATTGGGAAAGAATGGGGATTTTGCAGTAACCTTCCCCTGGAGTGGGGAGGGAATGGAGATTTTACAGGATCCTTCCCCTGCCACGCCCACCAAGTCATGCCACGCCCACCAAGCCATGTCTACAGAACTGATAGTAAAAAAAAATTGAATCCCACCACTGGGATGTACGTAATACTAACTGTATTGGCATCACATATAGTATTTTCTTTCTAATAAATCAGTTTTCAGTGAAACCTCTTGTTAGATATTACGTCAGTACATTTTATACTGACTACTTCAGTTTTTCCACTCTTCATATGTTAATGTTTTGATAAAAGCCACTACAAAGAGGAACTATGTTAAAGTTTATATAAATATGTCAATGTATTTGTAAATGATAATAAATCTTCTACCCTAGAGAGCCATATGCCTTAAGAGGAGTGAAATAGCTTCTTTATGCAGCTATGGGGTTTGGCCCACCCCAGTGTTGGTTCTAGTTGGCCAAAGAAACCATTTGATTACTCCTTATCATCAGACCATCTTTGCCATTCACTGTGGAGACATGACTCCCTTGCTGATAACAGTATATGTTAGAGAGGTTTTCTCAAACTATATAATTATCTGGTTATGGATATGAGAGTCAAGAGGAAAGCAATCTTTCAAAAAAAAACTTCTGCTAAGTCTAATTGGAAAATCAGCTCAAATAACACTTCCAGAGAAAACGAAGTGACTTGTCTTCCTTTATCTAGAATTAGAAGGAAATGGCTCAGCAGTTAAAGAAACTGAGCTTGTCAGCAGGAAAGCTGTCAGCCCAGGTTCAAAATCTGAGCACCATACAACAGGGTGAGCTCCTATTACTTGTTTTAGCTCCTGCCCAACTAGCAGTTTGAAAGAATGCAAATGCGAATAGATAAATAGGTACACTTTGGTGGGAAGCTAACAGCATTCCAGGTGTCATATGACTATAGAAATGTCAACATTGGCTCCCTCGGCTAAGAAACAGAGATGAGAACTGCCCCCTAGAGTCAGACAGGGGGAAGCTTTATCTTTACCTTTATCTTTATCTAGAACTATTCTCAGATAACATTATTATTTCTTATTACTGTTTAGGGAATTGATGGCCCCAAAGGAGAACCTGGGACACCCTGCGAGCAAAACCTTGTAAGTTGTCAGCAACTGACCATATACTTGCCAAATATCAAGTTACTACCAAAATATGCCAAGACGCAAAATTAGTGTCTTGTTTTAAAAGCAGTAATCTAATTTTCTATAATAAACATAATTTTTATGCTTTTTCTGAGCATGTGATCAATAAGGTAGCTCTAAAAAAGTAAAATATACAGTTAAAATGTAATTAAAATTCATGTAGAATTATTAAAATGATCACTCATTGGTTTCACAAGAGCCGAGGTGGCGCAGTGGTTAGAGTGCAGCACTGCAGGCCACTTCAGCTGACTGCTAAGTGCAGCTCGGCGGTTCAAATCCCACCGGCTCAAGGTTGACTCAGCCTTCCATCCTTCCGAGGTGGGCAAAATGAGGACCCAGACTGTGGGGGCAATATGCTGACTCTGTAAACCA